CAGTAAGTGTTATGGAACTTATCCTTTCCCAGCAATTTTAACCTAAACTGTGATTTTCCATAAGGTTCTGATGGTTATTCTTTATGTGGCTTTATTCAAGGCTTCATTAAAAAAAAAGCACTTCATTAAAAATAAAAATAATTTTTTTAATGAAATTACATTATTATCTCCGAGTTAGATTGGGTAAGAGTTTTTTTCACTATCCACCCGAAACCGACCCAACCTACTCAAACTCCAAATCTTTATTAAAAATCCGACCCTATTGAATTGAGTAGGATCAAAATCCGTCGATTTTGAATTAAATTTCTATCTCTAAGTCCAATCACAAGGAGCAAAGATAGACTGTTAAAATTGGAATTCAATGCATTTTTACAAAACTTTCTTCATAAAGAATTAAGGAAGTTGATCCAAAAAGAAGTTTCGAGTCACCAGGAGACCCAGTGGACATGGAGACAGGCTTTCGCTAAATTACAATGTAGTATTTGTTCTAAATACTCTCAACTATTTGATAATGAACGATCAATTATCTTGTTGTAATCGTTGGTGCACGAACCCATGACCTCTAAAAATAACAATGATTCATTTAACTACTAAGTAAATTCGCGTAAACTTTATCAATTAGATTAAGAACAAGCATTCTAATTAATTTATATTGCTTTATTTATTAAATGTTTTTTTTGGTCTATTGATCTTAGTTCATTTAGACTATATATATAAAAACAAAATCTAAACTAAAATAAAAACGAAAATTAATATACCGCAAGTCAATGATCTAAACTTAAAAAAAAAAAACCCTTTAATTTTTTATTTAAAATAATTAATTTTACCCTTTCCATCCATGTATCATATACTCCTGAGCTCGTCTTCCACTCAATCCTTTCAACAAATGAACCGGCTGCATTTAGAATAAGAATTACTTTTTCCTTTAACCGTGTGGATAAAAAGGGGAAAAAAGAATAATGAAAGGAACAGATTGTACCATAACTATTATTGAATCTCAACTAAAGATTGTTTTATTCTTGTAACCTTAGTGCTTTTTTAAGAATCACACCCTAGTATATATCCCGTGCCTTTTAAGAAGTTTATATGTATATAGTAGAGGACGCTAAGAGACTAGTCTAGCTTCCACCATGCACAGTCTATTGCATGTAAACCTCCGAATTGATCACCCCTACAGTGCTTGAGGGAGGGTTCGGGAACATTCGAAAACCAGCTGGAAAACTCCAAGCTAATTTGGCTAAACAATCAGCTGCCTTGTTGCCCTCGCGAGGCACGTAACGGAAAGCAAATTCCCACTCTCTATTCAGTAACTGGTGAATGTGTGGAACGAGGGAAGAAACTCCATGAAGCCTCGTATCACGATCAACCACCGCAAGAGCCTCCTTCCTGTCAACCTCGACCAGCAACTTCTTTATATCTGAGTTCCACGCCATGCGTAGTCCTTCATAAATACCTCATAGCTCCGAATCCAAAACGGAACAACAGCTGATGTGTTTGGACAAGCTGTACACCCATCCCAACCATGTCATGCGTCATATTGCTTCTGTGGGTTTTTTATTCCTAATCTGCCCGTATTAATCGGATAACACAGTTCCTCCCAACAAACAAGGTGAACACGACGACTAGTCTCTGTAGTACCCCAAATGAAATTACGTATAAGGCGTTCCAACTCATCACTAGTTCCTTTCGGAAGGGGACAAATTTGCATGGCATAAAACTGAATAGCTGACAATACCGATTTAGCTAATACAATTCTCCCTACCAAAGATAAATTCTTAGCTTTCCATCCTGTTAAACGATCGCGTATTTTCTGAGTGATATATTGATAAGTGTTTTATTGTAATTCGACTATGAAGCAAAAGAACACCAAGATACTTGCCAAGATCCTCAACACGCGAGAATTGGAACCTATTACTTATATCATAACAAAGATCTTTTGTCACGTTCTTCGAGAAGTAGATATTAGTCTTAGTAATACTCACTTTGTGGCCTGAGCTGTTGCAGAAATCTAGAAGCATTCTCTTAATCAAATCAAGCTGAGATAGTGTAACTTCTGCCAAGACGATCAAATCATCTGCAAAGAACAAGTGGGACAGAGGGGGCAGCTCCGATTCAACTTTATAGGATGCCATGAACCATCTTACACTACAAGATTAATAGATTGAGCGAGTCGTTCCATACAAAACACAGAGATAGGGAGAAAGAGGGTCCCCTTGACGAATCCACCAAGTCGGCTTAAATTCTTCAGATGTAGCCTTGTTCCAGAGAACTTGAGTGGAAGCCAAAGACACAATTCATGATTACACCACGAAGCTCATCCGGGCAACCATCATCCATTAAAGTATCATCAATGAATGACCATTCTAGCTGATCATAAGCTTTTCTAGGTCAATTTTAATGGTCATCCAATCCACTTTGCCTTTTTTCCTCATCGAGTGCACCACTTCTTCTTGGGCGATAATTATATTATCAGTGATATTACGACCAGGGACGAAAATGGTTTAGCTCTCAGAAATCCAACGAGACAGGAAGGATTTTAGCCAGTTCACAATGACTTTGGTAATCATCTTGTAAAGCACTGTACAAAGACTAATAGGACATAATTGGGCAATTCTCTTCGGCGCGATCACTTTGGGAATAAGAACAAGCGAGGTACGACTAATATCAACAAGTTTATGATTGTTAGCGAAACATTCTTTAACCAAATGACACATTTGGTCCAACAAAATCTCAGTTCTTTTAATAAAAGAAAACACGATATCCATCTGTCCTAGGGGCTTTCAACGGGTGCATCTTAAAAATCACTTTTCTAATATCATCCTTTGTGACTGTCTCCGAAAGCATACGAATGGTGGTGCTAGAAATCCGAGGAAACCGTCCACGAACATGATAAGAATAACCATCATTCCCTGCACTTTTGAAAATATCTTTGTAATACTTGACTGCCATTTTTTGGAGCACTACTTGATCAAAGCACCAAGACTCATCCTCTAAACGAAGATATAAAATGGTATTAGTCTGACATTGATTCCTCGCACAAACATGGAACGTATTTTGTTCTCCATAAAGAATCCAATTACTTCTAGACTTGTGAAACCAAATATTCTCCTCATGTTCCAGCACCAAGTCTAATTCATCTTTAACATTATTCTCCAAGTCTTAGAGCGTAGGCGAGTCACGGTTAGCTAGGGCACAATCAATTCATCTAAGCATGGCAACCGTCTTTACGTTTGCCAATCTTCCTAAAGTCCTTGGAATTCCAACCCGTCAAGGTTATCTGTAGTGTATTGAGATTACACTACAACAAAACAAGTTTTTAGTTGTGTTTTTTAGTCCTATAGCGGCGTTTTTAAGCGCCGCTAAAAATACTATCAGTGCTAGAAAGAGCGCCACAAGAAGTGCCGTTAAAACAAACGCCACAAAACGTAGCGGCATTTGTGATCCTAAAATGCCGCAAAGGTCGAGTTATATAGCGGCGTTTGTTCTTTCAAAGGTCGCTAATTCTTTTGTCTTTAGTGGCATTTTTTTGCCAAAAACACCGCTAATTCTCTTGTCTTTAGTGGTATTTTTTTCCACAAACACCGCTAATTCCCTTGTCTTTAGTGGTGTTTTTCCCCACAAAAGCCGCTAATGATATTGTTTTTAGTGGTGTTTTAATACAAACGTTGCTATTTGCAAAAGGTTGGCATGGTTTGATTGGATTACTCTTCATTGAACCCGTAAATTGTTGATCATCACTATCTTAATCCTTAAACTTCCAATAATGCTAATATAATATTATTTTACTGATGAATTTAAACGTTGGGTCTGATGGCATAATTTAAAGAGTATGAACAAATGAGTAACTATTATAAATAATGAGTCTTCCCCAAAGAGAGTAGATTTTTCCCTTTTCCAAGAAATGTTTTAACTTTTTTAATCAAATAGTAAACTTATAGAAGAATCACTCAGTTCATTTCATTAAAAACAATAACAAGCATCGGTGAAAATGGAAAATACTCCATGATAAGGTACAAGAAGTCAGAATCTTGAAAGAATAGAACAACTTTACAATGCACCGGCTATCAACCACGGCAAGTAAGTTTCTCTCAGAACGAACATGCTCAACCAAATTTACCAAAGGAAGGAGAAGTAGAACATAGGATTATTCCTTAATAGCCAAATTTGCCAAAGGAAGGAGAAGTAGAACAGACTGCCAGTTGGTCCAATCACCATGGAGAGGATGTGGTGAAGCTCAGTCTATTACTCTATGATGAGACAATACCTCGAGATATGTTGGATAACTTCATTATGATCCATTCAAACTGGACAATAATGGTTCACTTGTGTAAGTTGTACATTGTGACAACTTGTCTTAAGAAATGCAGACAAAATAAAAAAATTGAAGGGCACTTCTAAATATCAAATTTGATATCATTAATTCTGATTTACTCTTTCAGCATTCACATAGAAATCAAGATGATTTTCTAATGCATTCGTAAACCTAGTAGAATCCATTAGCTTGAAAAAAAATTCAAAAAGTTCACACAAACAACAGATTCTTGGGGACTCCAAAAACACAAGTTATGCAACTAACTAATAATCATCCAACACCTATGCTTCCTTTTGTGCTGCAGCTGCAGGGGCTTCCTTATCAGAAGAAGCCCCTTCCTCCTGATTAAAACAACCAAGTGAGATGTTTGTCACAACAAATGGATAATGGAAGAACCATGGACCACATACAGTTAAATCAAATGTTTGAAAAGAAAGGTATTGATGCCTAACTTCCTCGTTTTTAGCCTTCTCATACTCTTTCTTGAGCTCAACAGCTTTATCAATGTAGCAGTTCTCTTCCTGGTTGGAATCATCATAAGTCATTAGTAAAAAAGTATAATTAAAATAATTGAATACCAACAACTTACCTCATCAGATATGGATCTCCATTTTTCACCACCTTCTTTGGCAACCTAAATTTCATCGTCAAAATGCTCCCTACCCAATTTTGTTCTCAAGAGAAACACTAAAGAAAACCATGTCAAGCACAAAAGTGAAAAATGAGTACCCCTGTAGCACTCTTTGCATCTGGATTTGCTTCCTTATAAGATTTCCTAAACTTATCCCTGAAAAAGTAGCAAGGGAAACCTATCAGCACTATCACTGGGATTAATTAACACAAGGAAAAAGAAACAGTAAACCAAGGGTCATTACATGAACAAAAAGAATGCAGTAGGAGGACATTTGGGTGCATTAGGATCTTTCCCCTTCTCAACTTCTTCAGTTTTTAGCGTTTGATTTTGTTGTTGAAGGTTTTTTTCCTGTACAACTATCAGAAACATAAGCAACTCAAAACCAAATATGAAACTTCAAAAGAATATCCATCGATGTTAACAATACCTTTTTGCAGGTTTCTTATTGGCTTTAGCAGGCTTCTCAATAACTTGAGCCTTTAAATTAAGAAAACAAAAGTAAAAACGATAAGGAAAAAATACCACCATGAAAAACATTACTTCAATTATGTGAATGAAACAAATTTGGCTATCAAACAAATGGTACTCATCATGTAATGCCCCAAATACCGATTTAGGGAATATATTGAAATGATTCAAAAATAGGAGGATTTATTTGATTAAACGATATAAGATGAGAATGATTAGGATTATTGGTTTAGACTAAATTGTGACAATGGATTATTAAGAGGGCATTTTTTGTCTTTTAAATGAAAGAGAAATTCAAGATATGGGGAAAAGGGAATTAGGTTGCTAAAAAAGTTCTCTTTCTTCTTCTTCCTCTTTCCCCGTAGAAGAGCTCCTCCATAGCTCAAAGGTAAGTTTTCAATTTAATGGTTTATTCCTTCAACTTTTGTTGGTTATTGAATCATTGTATATGATGGAAGCTTAAGGAAGATTTAGATGGGATTAAAACAATGAGATAAGGGAAATAAAGGAGATTTTAGAAAATGGGTTTTATAATGATATGTTAATAAATGAGGGTTTATTAAAGTTTTTTTTGGTAGAATTGACTTTTCAATAAGAAAATGAAAGATTAGAAGCATTAGATGAGTGTAAAAACAAGTTAGAAATTGTGGTGTGATTCTTAAAATCAAATGCTATTGAGGGATACTATATGTTTTAAGTATCTAAACAAAGGAAAATTAGTATGGTTAAGTAGAGAAGAGTTATATAGTATTGTTAGAGGTAAATGTGAGGGAAATTGGCCAAATTTGGGTATGTCTCGGGTTGAAAACTGGAAAATCTGGACATGGGTATCGGTACTGATAGAACAATACCGATACTATCGGCAAAAATTAGGTTGAATTAGATGAGAAGTATTGATACTGATTCAATCAGTATCGGTGCCGACGAGGTAGTATTGATACCAGATAACATCGAACCTAATTTTGGTATCGATACCAAAATGGGGTATTGGTACCATAGTATAGTAGTGTCGATAGCATGGTAAGGGTATCGATACCATGCCACATCGAATCTATTTTTGGTATCGATATCGGAAGGGGGTATCAATACCATACTAGGGTAGTATCGATACCATTGTAGGAGTATCGATACTGAAGAACCAGAAATTTAAGTTATGCTTATATTATTGTAAAAAGATTAATAATAAGTATTTTGATTAATGTTTAAGTTATAATTGTTAGGAAATACACTAACAATTGATATTATACATGTATTTAATGAATATGGGATATATCGAAATCAAACTCCTGAGTCGAGTAAGGCAAAAGGCAAGGGCCAAGTTCCGGAGTAATCATCTTCCTATTTTTGGATATCTAAGCAAGGCGAGCCAGGTGAGTGCATTTAATTATGTACATACATGCTATACTAGTCATAGTGTTATGAATTATTGATGTATGTATGGTGATTACCAAATGGCACTAAGTGTGCTAAAATGTTAAGAAATTCATACTAAGTGTGAATTTCCATATAGGGCACTTCGTGTGCTAAAATATTAAGAAATTCATACTAAGTGTATGAACTTACGTATAGGCACTTTGTGTGCTAAAATGTTAAGAAATTCATACTAAGTTTATGAATTTCAGTATAGGGCACTTCGTGTGCTAAAATGATAAGAAATTCATACTAAGTGTATGAATTTCCGTATAAGGCACTTCATGTGCTAAAATATTAAGAAATTCATACTAAGTGTATGAATTTATGTATTGGGCACCTTGTGTGCTAAAATGATAAGAAATTCATACTAAGTGTATGAATTTCCGTATGGGAAATAAATGTGTATAAAAATAAGAAATTTTTAATAAAGAAGTGGATTTTTATATTGGTAATGGGTATACAAACCACACAGATTTTAGTGATGGTTGATAAATGATGATATTAGCACTAGCGATGCAAATTATAAAATACTTAATGACATTAACGATCCCTTGATATGTAAAGTTTAATAAAATAACTTGTGTTTAGAACTTTACTTGTGATTAATTATGCCTCACTAAGTAATACTTAACGTGTGTTTATTTTACACGTAGTTGAAATACTAGCTGAGTAAGGAGATCATCAGACATCAAGTCAGAGTCGCCTCATCAGTAACATTATAACATACTTGTCTGCTTTTGATATATTTTGGTTGGCATGTAATAGGTTTAGTAAAAACGCTTTGAAAAGCTTTTGAATAAAACTAATGTATAATGGTGAAATGTATAACGCTTTGAAAAAATCAATTTATTTGTATTTCAGTTTATTTTAGCAGTATGTAGGCGTTAAAAAACTAACAGTCTTCTTCTTGCGTACTGCAGACTTTTGGTCCACCTCTTCTGCTGTAGATGCCTGCAGATGTGGTCCGCAGACTGCAGACCTTTTACCTCTGCAAAAACAAACACCACCTAAGAGTTTAACTATTTTATCACTTTTGATCTAGCTTCAAGTGTGGTTTGTAAAAGAGATTAGAGGGAGATTTTGGAGAATTGAAGTGAAATAAAAATGATTTAAATAAAGTTAAATTAAGAAAATAAATTTAATTTGTAAAAAATAAGCCTTGGGATAAAGCTTTTGCCTCGATTTTAATCGATCATTGAATAAGATTTTACCTTCGGGCTTACGCTGATTATAGTCTATAGGGCCCAACCCCTATAACTTGTTTTTCTCTCAAATGAATCGAGAATCTAAAATCAATTTTCATATCTCAACTCTTTGTGAGTTAATAGTGGCAATCACTTATTAATTTAATGCTCTTAAATTCTGGAAAAACTTGACTCGGATTTTATCATCACAATTGAGAATCTAACCTGATTTAAGTTTCCGTTAGTGGACCGCCGCTAAGTGTGTTCACAGGAAGTCGAATGTGCCACAGGCTGATCCTTCCTCCCAACTATAAATCGAAACTGAAGTTCAATTCCAATGTGCACTTTTTGAAATGAAATCATTTTGATTGTAAAAGGATGGTCGATTACCGATCCTTGATTTCTGAATATTTAAAATGTAACCCTTTAGGGTATTAAGTGCTTTTCGATTCTCCCGACTTAGAATCGAGTAATTTATTTAGCCCTTGGCTATAGGAAACTTAGCAAAGCATGGTAGAAACCATACTTAGCATTTTGAAAGAAAAATAAAGTAACTTGAAAAATAAAAAGAAAGAAAAACTTTTATAAATCTAATGAAAGAAATAAACAAAAGAGTTTGAAAATGATTGAATGCTCAAGTGATGAGTTGAATATGCTTTGAGGCTTACCCCAATGGGGTTTTTATAGTCCTCAAAAACCCTAGAATATAATATTAAAAACAAAAGATAATTCGTAAAAAATAAAAATAAGATAAATCCTAATTTAAAATATAAAATTTAGCTAAGTCTCATTCTTCACGCCACTACTGATTAAATCTTCTAGAAGCTACTGATCGGACCTTCTAGAAGCTGTTGATTGGGTGCCACGTCAGCCTCCATGTCATCACCATGTCAACTACTACATCAGCCATTGACTAAAGCCATGTCGAGTGTGTCATGTCCCAAGTCGTGCCCACTACTCCGGCCATGAATCCAGAAAATAAAAATTTGCACGATTTCGTTGTTCTTAGCGTAATTTCAGGAATTTAATGTCATGTATTGAAAATGAATGAAAAGGCCCAAGTTAGAAACTAAAACTATCTAATCAAGGAGTAATTATTCATAAAATAATGTATAATTTAAACACTAATCAATAACTCTAACATTATAGGTAGCTCCTTTTTTAATAGTCAACCGTTTACGTTATATGTTTAAATTTTTTATATTATGAGAAAATAAAACAAAATAGGTTTATAAGTTTAACATTATAGGATGCACATTTCTTTAATTCTCAACATTAATATTATATTTTCCAAACTGTTTTATCAAGGGACAATCAGGCAAAACGAGTTTATAAGTCTAACATTAAGGAACACAGACAAAATGAGTTTATAAGTCTAACATTTTTTTAATAGTCAGACAAATTGTTTCTTATTGTCCACCTGGTGGGGGTAATTTATAAACAACCCCAATATGTATTCAAATTAAAACAACTCAAACTCAGATTTTAACATTTTACAAAATAACTTTGATTCATGCTCTAAAAAAGAGAACCATAACACTTATTATCATAATTGTAGCTGATTAGTTTTGGTCCACAAACCTTTATATTGTTGCGGCACCACGACATTAAGCCTACAAACTTTCGAATCTCTAAATAAATACCTTTTAAAATTATTTTCTTATAATTGGAGGGATTGAAAACGTTCATGATTCTAAGTCCTTCTCTTACTTCTTTAAACCCAAAACATATTTAAAACATGCCATACACATATATGGCTTTATTATTGCCATTATCGGTTGTTTCCTTCAAACAATGCAGACCGGACTCTGGGTTCTTTCCACTAAAATAAGCATACATGCCTATTCTATATAACACTTCAGGATTATTACTAGCTTTGCATCTTCTTTGAAAACTTTTCTCGGTATCAGTCCATGGTATGATATTGATATTCTTCATAGAAACGTTAAGATAGATGTAGTCATGCTTCTAAGCTTCATGAAAAGCCTTGCAACTCAACCAAATATTGAGGAAATCAACGATAGAATTAGACAAAACATGCATAACAATTTTCGTTAACACTTCTTTTAGGATTGATTCCACAAAACAACATACTTTTTTGTCATTGTTTTGAAAGAGATAATTATTTTACTACAAACCTTGAACCTAAATCCAAATTTATAATAGTCCTCAAACGAACGCTTTCACTAAATTCATTTATTTGGGACCTCGCATTTTTTTATTGCTATTAATTTAGTCTGAAATGAAACGAATTAATGTTTTTGTTCCCATTCGCCACAAATCAAATCCAAGGTGATGATTCGATTCACCCACCATTTCCCCGAATGTATCAAACGATTTAAATTCTCGGAGCCTTTTGAAATGACTTAATTTTAAATTTCGATTTTTTAATCATTTTAAATTTTTACAAGTATCAATCATAAAAACATATGTATCGATATTTTTTATTTTCATCTAATCTTCAACTGTATTATATTGAAAAGTATCGATATTATTATATAACTATCAATATTTAATATTACGATCTATTTTTTCATTTTTTTCGTGCAACCGTGTTTCTTAAATATATTTATAACATTTTAAGTCAATTTTAATAAGTATCTATCATTACACCATATGGATCGATATTTTCAATTACGATATTATCTAAAACTTTTTCAATATTTAAACATATCGGTAATTATATACTCAGTATCGATATTATAAATTTCGAATTGTTTGTTTTTTGTTTTTTTTGGGTAAAACTTATTTTATTAATAAAAATATTAACATAATATATCGCAACCGCAATTTTTATTCAAAACCTAGACATTCTTAGGCGCAACCTATTTTATTAAAAATATTAACATTACACTGCAGATTGCAACTTACTTTCTTAGTGAACCCCAATATTCTTAGGCGCAACATATTTTATTAATAAAAATATTAACTTCTCATATCACAACCTATTTCTTATTGAACCATGATATTATTGGGTGTAATCGTATTTATGATACATATTCATAACATTTTAAGCTTTTAACTTATTTTCTTATCGTGTGAAACTCCAACGCTCCATCAGCTTAAACTTTGATAATGTTTTAGGCGGAACCCATTTTATTATTAAAATTAGTAAAATTCCAGATTGCAACATTCTTTCCTAGGGTACCATGAGATTTTTGGGCACAACCTATTTTATTAAAAAAAATATTAACTTTCCAAATTGCAACATATTTCTTATTGAACCATGATATTATTGGGCGCAATCATATTTATTATAGATACTCATCACATTTTAAGCTTTTAACTTATTTTCTTATTGTGGTAAACATCAAGGCTCCATTAGCTTAAACTTTGATAATGTTTTAGGCGTAACCCATTTTATTTTTAAAAATAGTAATATTCCATATTGCAACATGCTTTCTTAGAGTACCATGAGACTCTTGGGCACAACCTATTTTATTAATAAAAATATTAATATAACAAATCGCAACTTATTTCTTATTGAACCATGACATTATAGGATGCAACCATATTTATTCTATATATTCATAATATTTTTGGCGCAATCAATTTTATTATTAAAAATAGTAAGATTTCAGATTGCAACATGTTTTCTTAGGTAACCATGAGATTTTGAGCACAATCTATTTTATTAATAAAAACATTAACATTATAAATCGTAACTTATATCTTTTTGAACCATGATATTTACCGTGGGAAACTCCAATACTCCATCAGCTTAAACTCTCATAATATTTTAGGCGCAACACATTTTTCTATTAAAAATAAGATTTCATATTGCAACATGATTCTTCACTGAAACAAGAAATTGTTGAGCGCAACCTATTGTGTTCTTTGTATTCATAATATTTACCGTTTATAACTTAATTTCTTACCTTCTATAACATTATACTACAACCTGTTATATTACTCTGTCTGATAAGTATTCCAGTTTCAAGTTATAGCATTATCGGTCGCGTTTTTAACCTGTAACATTTTCTATCGATCACACCATTTATTAGCCTTATTTTAAGCAACTCATAACAGAAGTGCCCATAAAACTATCCCAGCAACAATTCTTCTTTGTGACAGTTGACAAACAAAACGATTTAGGGAAAAAATCATCTTATTATTAAACAACTTGTAGAATAGTAAAGTAGGTTCACTATGACCTGAACAGAGTAGGCCAAAAAGGACCGATTCCCTTCTAACCCACTCTACCAAGGAGAATTATCAAATCACTCTCTTTTGTAGCTCTCTTTGGTTTCTTGTTCGGAACATCTTCAAACTCAAAATTATTGATTATGGATTCTCCATTCAATTTAAAACTAGTGTGTCATAAATTGTCGACTCACCTCCTTTATCCATGACCCATTTAACTATAGCGAACTCTCTCCTATACTTTGTACTTCAATAAAACTAACTAAATAATTTTAGAGCTTCAAATTTTTTAGGATTTGGTTATATGTGAATATACATTCTTTTTTCTTCCAAAGTTTGTTGTTTTGACAATGTTAACCCTTTTTATTAAGGTTAAATTGTAAATTTTTTATGTTTCAACCCAAAACTGTGAATTTTTAAATTAAATTGAACAATTTCTTAATTCAGTTCTGAATTTTGGTGTCCTTTTTTATTCCCAGATGATGGCAGGAAAACTGTCACTTGAGAATCTCGGGTCTATTGGTTGAAATAGATTCCCAGCTGATTTTAGTTTGCATTAAGTTGAACTTTTAGTTTGCATTAAGTTGTTCAGATCCTTGACTTTATAGTTATAAGGGGAAAAATCCATTTATTTTATCATTATTTATTAACCCACATGTCATCAACTTAGTGAAGGGGCACAGATAGGGCATAGAGCTACATAAACTTTGATAATAATTATAGAGATTAACAATCAATTGGTCTAATAAATGAGATGGAACCTTTATCAAACAATATTATAAGTTTATTTCTTTTTGGGTTTAATTACTTATTTTAGATCCATTAATTGACTGTACGAATTAACTTACCTCAGTGGTTAAAGAAGTCGTTATTGTTCTTAGATGTTACAGGTTCGAGCACTAACGGTTGCAACATGTTGATTGAGCATTCATTGTCAAATAATTGAGAGTATTTAGAACATATACTACTTTGTAATCATCTTAGTTTAGTAAAAAAATACATCTATTAATTGACTAACTAAAATCAAGTATTACATAATCTTTTCAACCCATTTTTTTATTTACAATACTAAGAAGATAACATTAAAAGTATAACGTTAAGAAGCTAGATTAAACATATCATATTATTATAAAAATAAAATATTATTTTTAAAATCCCTCAAGGAATAACATTAAGAAACTAGATCTAAGATAAACAACAAGGATTCTCCGGTTTTTGAGCCATAGTAAAGTCCAAAACTTTATATTCAATTAGCGGAATTTTAACTTTGTCATATCTTCTATTTAAGATTTAAGATTTTGGGTATATACATTAATCAATCGACTTTGATAATAAATATATTATTGTTATATTTTGAGGTCTCATGTTCAAGTATAATTAATGTTAGAGATGTGAGCGTTCAATATCAAATATTTGAAAGTTATCTTTGAACAAATACAAGTATTTAGAAAAAGGATTTAAGGAATATGATTTTAAGTTTTAGGATTTAGAATTTAGAGTTTAAGATCCAATATATATAATATATATAGTAACACTAAAATTCCGTTGGGCTGTGGGTTTACCTTTGTTTATCAACTTGGAAATGGATCAATCCTCCAAAGTTGGCTCACTCTTAAAATCCAACATCGTCTTTTTCAATTTCTTGTTGCTGAACCTTTGTTGGATCATCGTGTTATCATCTTCGTAACTGCGATATATATATTAAATTAATACCACCATATATACATTGATTATTAGATAATCATATTAACTAAAACGCTAACCTTTCTGGAGGCAGAGAAGGAGCAGAAGGTGTAAGCAAACGGGCGAGGCGAATAGCATCTTCTTGGTTAGTAACAGCGTGATCGAAGCATAAATATCGACCGAAGGATGAAACATCTTCAAAGACGCAGATGTGAGCGTCAACTAAGAAATGAAGGTCGACGGTCACCAACGTCCCACCCTCGTACATATCGGCAGCTCCTTTCAAGTAAGGGTGGGTGATAGACACATGCGGCCCCGTCAACAATCCGCCATTGATCGAAACCATGTTGATGCCCCTGTCCATTACCAATGCCCATGCAGTCTTCTCCGCGACTGTCTTCGATAGCGCATGCCATAACTGCTTTGCCAATTCACTCAAGTGTTGATCACCAAACAAACACCGTAATCTAATCATTAAGCAACTACAATATCTTGAATTCACGACTTACTGCCGGAGGTCTTCCACAGAAACTGCTCTCAACCTGGCGTTGGGGGCAGCCTACCACCCCACCTCCCCCTTACCCCATTGCATATGGAAATAGTGTTTTGTTGTTGTTGTTGTTGTAATACCTTGAATTCGTGACAAAGATCAACATCGCTCCAATGTCGTTCGTCCAAATTGGGCGCAACCGATTGAGGGTTGTCCCTCCAAACAATGGCAGTGGCGGAGGATGTGAAGACCACCTTGTCTATCGTCTCCGTCCGAGCGCATGCCTCTATCACATTGTGTGCTGCTCTTGCCTCCTCTTCTGCCATATATTCCTGCACTTGACCATTTTCTCAATTTGTCAACTACTTCGTAACCAGTTGAGCAGATGTCTCTAGAACATAATAAAAGTTTATATATATATATATATATATATATATATATATATACCCAAAAAGGTATATATATTGAGAGTTAGGATCTATTTACATAGTGTGAATTTTTTTTTTTTTTAGTTTTAGATAGATTTAAGATTGTTGGATGAATGAAAATAGATAATTGAGATCTAATTTATTTTTTTAATGAATATCTTCTCATTTTTTATTATTAACTTCAGTCGTATATTTTCACTCGTCTAACGATCCTAAATTTATATAATATATATATATATATATATATATATATTATGTAATTAAATCATATCCCACGTATACATCCACACTGTTCATGAACACTAGCCACAAGAGTAAAGTTAATATCTATTAGGAAGAATATCAATTGAAATGTGCATTATTATTTGTCCTTAATTAAAATTAGGAGTCAGCATTTGGTCGGGTCGAGTAAGAAGAATTTAAATTAATTAAGATGATGAGTTTCTATTTAAATTTCAAGTTTCGTTTGAATTTAATTGTAAATATTTATAATAGGGTTAGCTACTTCAAATATCATCAGACTCTTCGTCGATGATACATGCATCACAATACTCACATCAAAGGAAGAAGTAATAACTCTTCCAAATGATCCACTGATAAGCCTTGGAAAAGAAGGCTAGAACAACAACAAACTTACGACAATTTTTTGAATGGGATTATGATCTTATTTGGTCAATATTTCTTCTAGAGATACGATCATCGGTCTTTTATATTTTCAACGGTTTTTGAATTGCATCAATATGATATCGGGAACTCAAGATATGGTCATTTTAGTGAAGACAGTGCATGCAGAAAATCCTATACGGGATTAATACGGGATTTTGTAACTATTATTAATTTTTAATATTTTTATTGATTATTTGTAATATAATTTAACATAGGATGATGCATTATCTTTTAGGATTAGATTTATTATTTTATAATAAATTAAAGTTGAGTTAAAACAATTTAGTTTTAGTTATTATTATTTTATTAGGAATTAGAGTTAAGAAATGTTTAGTTTGTTATTATTTTATTCATTAGTTATTTAGGACCTTTAGAACTCATCACCTATATAAACGAGGCATCATTCAACTTTGTAAAACATATATTTTTTATTAATAATACAACGAGAGTTTGTTTTTGCAAGTGTTGATTGCCTTGTGCATTCGAAGTTTCTTCTCCCGAAGTTCTTTTAAGCTCTTGTGAGGGAGATTAATCTTCACATTCCAATTTGCATTTTCATCACGACTAGGAGGGTTGGTTATAGTCATATTATCGAGTTTGCATTTTTATTGCGACTAGGAGGGTTCGATAGAACACTTATCCATATATTTTCCACAAATCCATCTGCACCATCAAGCATCTTTACCGTTCACCTTCATAAGAGAAATATTTTGATTTCTTTATTATCTTACTTTATTTTCAATTTCTTTATCTTTTGTTTATCTTGTTCTATTCTTGTTGCCTTGATTTCAATAGCTAAAAGAAACTCTAAAGAATCCTAACTGCTACTTCCATCTTCCCCTATTCATTACCCTTTGTTCTTCATCAAGTCTAGAGCTTTCTAGGTTTGATTCTTTAACAAGAGCAACGTTTATTAATCCGCCACCGCTTTCCTATCAATTGGTATCAGATTTGGGTCGATTCTTGGAAAGAATCAAGAATCTTGCTTGTTCTTGCACATAAAACCGCCAAGGTACCTCAACAGAGCTAGTTCGTAAAAGATTCATCGTTTCAGGTTCTTTTTTGTTTAATTTTAATTTAGATTCAATCTCTTATTGTTAGTTTTTTTTCACTAAAAAAAGGTAGAAAAATCAAAAAAAAAGGAAAAAATACAAAAAATCAAAAATTACAAATGAATGAATTTAGGGATGATTTTCTCCAGATATCACATTCATCTTAAGAGTAATCCTCAGTCCAAAATTCACCCCAATAGAGTTCATTAGAGTATTCTACATCGTTCAAGTTTCATTAGTTCTGTCTAGAATCTTGTTGAATTTCTTGAAAATATAAAGGAGGAATTATGTGGTGAAAATTTCCAGATTGAAACTAAAATATTGAAGATCATTAAAAAATCAGAATTTTTGGAGATCAATAACACCTTCAAATAAAGTGATCACGAAAAATAGACTGTTTGAGGACTCACTGTTCAACAGAGTCTACTAGATACTACTAAAGGTATTGGTTTTGAAAATTTACAGGTGGTTTCTACACACATCGAACAACATTCAACAAATTTTACAAAATTTTTGGAAATCGAGAACCCCTAAAAAACATTTCTCAAATTAACCCAACGTCTTCTAGGTTTCTAGTTTGGTTCTTTTTTTTCTTTGACTCTTAGTGCTTAAGGTTCTTTTGTTTTCCTTTATTTTTCTTTCGTATTATCTAACACATTATCTTTTGTGTTAGTAGGACTAAAGAGTTTGCATACTTCTTCTTTCTTTGCATTCTCATTCTCTTGGAGTCTAAACCTTGTTTGGCCTCTTAGAGCTTTCCAGTTTGTTATCGCCTTTCTAGTAATCAAACTCCGATACGAACTGTGGAACTACCTGGTAAAGTGACTTTTAAAGATACAAGATCAGCTTACTTCCCTCTCGCTGTGTTACTTTCTTGGAGTGACTTGTGAGGTTTCTTATTTTGTTGAATTTTCTTTCTTTTATTTTTATTTTACTTTAAAATTTTCTTTTGAGTTTATGATTTCAGGATGGGCGACAATAACAACAAGACACTTACGGCTATCTTAGCCGCACTTGCACGACTCACGACTCACGACTCAATTTGAAACAAGATTTGATGAACTTAACAATATCGTGAAAGAACCACAACTGGATCTACCAAACCAGAATCTAAGACCAAATAATACTAAACTTTTGGTACCCAAACGAGCACAACCACATTTCCAAGCACCCGAACTCTTTGCAAAACCAAAGTTTACGATCCATCTTTCAAAAGAGACAATAATCCATACAAGTACATCGATTGGGAAGGAAATGTTGATCTCATATTCGTATACCATGACTTCCCCCAAGCTGAACAAGTTCCCCTCGTTACCATGGAATTCGAAGGATATGCTCAGACTTGGTGGATGCGAACAAGGAAAAAGATCGAGAACTTCCAAATTCAAGCAATCACTTCTTGGACCGACCTCAAACAAACCATGAGGAACCAATTCCTAACAACACTTATACATGAGAAGTTAAACTACGACTACACCGACTTCGACAATGTAGAAGTTCAGTTAAAGACTACTACAAGGAGATGCAGTCCTTACTCAATAGGGCTAACATAACCGAAGAAGAAGAGGACACCGTGTCAAGATTCGTCATCATCTTGAACTCAAACATCACTGAACTTCTTGACCTCCATGGGTACGAAAACCTTGAAAATACACTAAAGAAGACAATAACTATCGAAGCACAATCCAAAGGAGATTTCGATTCAGAGACCATTACCATGGTACTTCATCCTCTTACCAAGGTAATCCTTCAAATCATTCCTCATCTTCTACTCAATCTTCTCTAAAAAAGCCGAGAGATGACAACCCGACAAGAGGAACAATGACCACAAAGAATGACACACTTCCAGCCCCTAAAGACGACACATCCGTAAGTCCCGATTCAAGTATCCTACATCCTCCTAGGACGTCCTTGGTAATACAACAATGACGTCACATATATAGCCAAAAGAAGACTTAAACAATTCCAATCAAAGGTAAACCGTTTTGACTTAACCCTCTACCCCCAAAGAGAGTCTCATAGATCAACAACGAATTCACAAGGAGATTGGGAACTTGAAACAAATGGAAAAAGAGGTCACAACCGATAAAAGCTAAACAAATGACCCTCGAGTGGTGAGTGAGCCTAATTGTGAGAAAAAAATAGTGACTCAAAATCTATGTGTGAGCACAAAAGAATTGAGAGAGAATCTTCTTTACAAACAGCCTTGCATCCTTGTTCGCTTTAGGGAATCAATTGTTTCGATTTCTAACATTAACAAGGATTTTCCTAGTGTGTTTTCCTCTCTTTTGCAGGATTTTTGAGAAGTCTTAAGTGATCCACCTGACGGATTACCACGGAAGAGGAAAACAACACCAAACCAATCAAATTCAAGGTTCCTCATACCTCATTAAAACATACGTCTCAAAGAAACCAAAGAGTTAAATTTGTTACAAAAGTTACATCTAGAAAAGCCTTAGTCGTGACGTCATCTTAATGACGAAACATGATTTAAACAACTTCAGAGGCTTTATAGTTCATGCACAGGGAATCCATGTAAATGATGAAAAAGTAAAAGCAACATGGGACTGGCCCACACCATCTTCCATCACCAAGAGTTGTCGAATGGTGCTAGGTGACCCTCCTGTAGGGTTACCATCTGAAAGCCCTAATCACTATGCTATATCAATAAAGAGTCATGATTTACGAGAGTCCAAAGGTAAGTATTTTATTACTCATTTTAATGAATTATAACATACTTTTTCTCCTTTTTACAAGGTAAGACTCTTGAAGTTGTCATCCATACTAAACAACTCCTTTAAGTGCATAAAAGACTGAGGTAAGCAAAACACAGTAGACGATGCACTACCACAAAGGTTCTGCAGTCCACAAATCTCCTCCTGATAATTCCTAATTCATGAACCACACTTAGGAGACTTAAGGGATTATTTTCACAAACCAGTTGACATGGTTTTTCAACACTCATTCTTGCCACACACTTGTCAAGCCATGGAGACAATATCTGAAGCTATCATAAAGAAAGCCAACTGTAGCCGATGCCATGTTCAATTTCAACCAAAACATCAGATTACAAGACTTGTATGCAAAAGAGAATTTCAAGACTATAAGAAATCAGTTCCAACAAAGAAGAAACCTCGACTAAAATGCATAAAGACACATCACATTGATCCTGATAAATGTTTAACAAGCTTTCTTTTCAACACATCTAATTCTCTTTCTCTTAGATTTTCAGATTCGAGGATGAATCCTTTCGAGGAGTGGGGGAATTATACATGCACCAGAGTCCATAATGATAATACATGCTTCTTTGGACTAATGTTTCTACTCGAACCTATTAGAAGAACAAAGTTTCAAAAGATTCAAAGCATATCTATTCGGTAAGCATAATATGAATGAATCATTAAACAATTCTAATGTTGCTCTCTTTAATGCTTCAGATTCGAGGTCAAATCTTTTGAAGAAAGGGAGGATGAACATGCATCGCAAGAATCAAAGGAAGAAGTAATAACTCTTCCAAATGATCCACTAATTCAAGCCTTGGAAAATAAGACTAGAAAACAGACTTGCGATGACTTTTTGAATGGATCCTAATATTATTTGGTCAACACTTATTCTGTATATACGACCGTATGTCGTTTATATTTCCAAAGGTTCTTGAATTGCATCAATCTGATATCGGGAACTCAAGATATGGTCATTTTAGTGGAGACAGTGCATGCAGAAAATCCTATACGGGATTTTGTAAATATTACGAATTTTTAATATTTTTATTGATTATTTTTAATATAATTTTACATAGGATGATGAATTATCTTTTAGGATTAGATTTATCATTTTATTAGGAATTAAGGTTGATTTAAAATATTATTTTTAGTTACTATTATTTTATTAGGAATTAGAGTTAAGACATGTTTTTTTGTATTATTTTATTCATTAGTTATTTAAGACCTTTAGAACTCATCCCCTATATAAACAAGGCTTCATTCAACTTTGTAAAATAGATTTCTTTGATTAATAATACAACGAGAGTTCCTTTCGCAAGTGTTGGTTGCCTTGTGCCTTCGAAGCTTCTTCTCCTGGAGTTCTTTCAAGTTCTTGTGAGGGAGATTAATCTTCACAATTTGCCTTTTCATCACGACTAGGAGGGTTGGTTAGAGTCATATTATCGGGTTTGCCTTTTCATTGCGACTAGGAGGGTTCGATAGGACACTTATCCATCTATTTTCCACAAATATCCGCACCATCAACCATCTTTACCATTCACCTTCATAAGGGAGATCTTTTGATTTCTTTATTATCTTACTTTATTTTCAATTTCTTTATCTTTATCTTGTTCTATTCTTGTTGCCTTGATTCCAACACCTAAAAGAAACCCTAAAGAATCCTAGGTTCTACTATCATCTTCCCCTATTTATTACCCTTTGTTCTTCATTGAGTCTATAGCTTTCTAGGTTTGATACTTCAACAAGAGCAACGATTATTAATCCGCCACCTCTTCCTTGTCAGTCGTTAATGATTTAATGGCATGATGACTTAACAGCACCGTGTAGTGACATTGCTGACGTTAATGCCTCGCCAAAACGACATCATTTTGACGCAACTATTTTGATATCTAAAACAAGTCAAACCAATGTCGTTTTATTTTAAAAAAGAACTTCTTATTAGATTCAAACAATAGACTTTTTGGAACCAATTCTAAGCACCCAATCACTAAATTAACTTAAGAATATATTATATTTTTAACAAAATTAATATATATTTTAATATCTGATATTTCCCCCGGTTTCTTCCCACTATTTTCTCTTACCGAAACGGTTTTTCCAGTCACTACAACAAACAAGTTTTTAGCGACATTTTTTAGTCCTACATCGTGTTTTTAAGCACCGCTAAAACACTACCGGCGCTAGTATGAGCGCCGAAGAAGTGCCGCTAAAACAAGCGCCGCAAAAGATTGCGACGTTTGTGAACCTAAAACGCCGCAAAAGGTCTAGTTATATAGCGGCGTTTGTGGCCAAAATGCCGATAATTCTCTTACCTTTAGTGGCATTTTTTTACCACAAACACCGCTAATGCTATTGGTTTTAGTGGCATTTTCACCACAAATGCGCTAACGCTATTGATTTTAGTGGCATTTTTACCACAAACGCCGCTAACGCTATTGGTTTTAGTGGCTTTTTTACCACAAACGCCGTTAATGCTATTGGTTTTAGTGGCTTTTTTGGCACAAACGCCGCTAATGCTATGCTATTGGTTTTAGTGGCATTTTTTGCATAAACGCCGCTAATGCTATTGGTTTTAGTGGCGTTTGTAATACAAAACGCCACTATTTGCAAAAGGTTGGCATAGGCAAGTTTGATTGGGTTACTCCTCGTTGAACCCGTAAATTGTTCATTATCGCTATTTTCAATATGTTTTGTTCCTACTTTGTATTACCCTAATTTAACTTGTAACAGTATCTAATAACAACCAAAAAATAAAATTATGCTTCCAATTAAACAAATATACATAAAAATATGAATAATTCAAAGTTTACAAACATCCAACAAAAATGTAATGTAGTTCAATAATGTTCTCTAGAATAAACAAAACATTAACCTAAGAAATCACCTAGGATGAAGTTTTTGCTTGATTCTGTTACTTCATAGCTTCAAGTTGATTTTGAAGTTCTTCATATCCTCTCTGCTTCTCTCGCTTTTATCGCTTATTGCCACTTGAGGCTGAGTAGTGATGCCACCAACAGAATTGGAAGAATTTGTAGTGACTGCTAGTGCATATAGATTAATAATGATGTAGCAACAAAATACAAGGCAAAGAGACCAAGATAACTTAAAAAATCATCAAAATGAGAAAATATATTTTGCTTTGATGGCTCAATTACGATTAGTATGTAAAATATTTGAACTAAAAAAGTAAGCAACTTCTTTGAAAAGAACATCTTCTCCCTCCACTTCACTTAGTTCTGCATTTGGAAGGCAAAAAAGAAACCTTATTTAAATAAATCCAAAAGGATAAAAGCAGCAGCAAATCTTTCTAAACCAATTGAGACCGGTGGTCTCACAAAATCTACATGAACGCATGTTATTAGATATGATAGTGCATTACGACAGAAAAAAAAAGACTGCATCTCTTACTAAATGCATCTATCGACTTTAGTTCACTAGGTGATTTCAAATCTGAATCAAAACAAGTAAAAGGATAAATACTAGAGCATAGTATTTCAGTCATGTCGGAATATAATTTCCAACAGATACAACCTGGAAAGGAAAAGAACTGCTAGCAAAATATAATGACATCTAAAAAAGGGAAAAAAATGAGATACTATTTCTTCAAGACGAAAATATGGATTGTATAGACACTAGTTTCACTCCATTTTACTGAACATCAACTAAATTTAAAGGTAAAAAGAATAAAATCTAGGACTGCCTTGAAAAATTGAAAATAAAGGCATGGTTAAAAATATTGAGAAATCGAGTCATCCAACTACGTCGATTCCTAAGACCGAGGGGGGGGGACTTGCACGTAATATAGATTAATCAAACCTGAGACAGATCGATGATGCAAACTCAGCCGTCTCTGTCTGCCCAATGCTTGTATAACAGCATCTTCAACCTGAAAACAACAGAATTTGAATAAAAATAACTTCATAGAGTGGCATTTTACAAAAGTGAGCAAGAAATAAACAGGTAATAATAAAATGGACTTCATGTCAATGCATAACTGGGGGGAGCGGGCAGTATTACTACACCTATTTTTTAGGGTCAAATATATAATTATTACCCTATACCATGCACAAGTTACGAATTTGGTCCTTATACAGGAACAATATTATTAAATTACGAGCACTAAATCTATAATTTACGCAAAGTACAGATGTAAATAGTAGAATTTGGCTTTGCAATTTAAATCTAATGTCTGGATCAAGAACGGAATTTCCAATTGTGAAAAGTACATAAGACTGAAAATGATCAAATTAGAATTCAAAGATTAAATCTATATCTTAAGCATAGTACAACGTATAAATTTAGATCGAAGAATCAATGCACAACAGCCCGGCAACAAAAAGAAGATTAAATATTTTATATTCCCTTATGACAAAAAAGAATCAACCTTTAATGATGCTAATTCCCTTAGGCCCATTTCAACTGAAAGCATGCTCTCAATATTTCCTTCTCCTGTCAGATCATTTAGATCTCGGGCAACTTTACTCCTGTCTGGATCACCACCGCCTGTATCATTTCTATAAACTTAATGATCAAAAAAGGAAAAAGGAGGAAGGGAGTAAATGGGATATGGTCAGAAATTGAACTAGCCTCTATGCCATGCTTCCTCTTTAGCCTTTTGTCCAGCAGAAACAACAACTTCAAATGGAAGAGGAGCAAATGCCGACTAGTATTCATGCTTTGACACTGCTATATCTGCACATATGCCCGGAAAATCCAGAAACAATTGCGAAAAAACAAATTCTTTCAGGTTACAAAAAAATATGATAAATCAACTCTATGGGACTGCAAATGAAAATTCCACCAACAAAACATCAAAATCTAACCCAAAACGAACACTAGCAAATTGGTATCCAAAGTATACAACAAATCTACATTAGCAATACAAATCTTTGCATTCTTCCAATTCTCGTTGAAGCCCCTCCAGCGATATATCACTACAAACAAGAAAAATTAAAATCTCAATCATCCTAAAAATAAAGAATTTTGTTTTCATATTTAAGAGTTCTAAGAAATTAAAACCCTAAAAAGAACCTGCTGGCATCTTCCTCAACAATCAAGTCTCCAACAAACGCCCCAAAATCGAACACATTTTTGGAGGTTTCATTTGGGTGATTCTGAAAAGATTGATAAAGTTAGAATTGTAATATTGACATATCAGTAACAGTAAAACCTTGAAATCTCAAGGAAATTGAATCCTTGAAGGGGGAAAATATCGCATTATTTGCAGCAACCTCGGCCATGTTTTCCATACTCGATCGTTCAGTAACTACACTCTAATTGAAACAAACAAAAAAAATACAGCTAGAATCAGTTTCTTTGCAATAAGAAAAGAAAGATTAGAAATTCGACCGGATATTTTAGATTCGGATCTGAGGTAGCTAACAAATAAAGGAAATATGCATGCTTCAAACATTATTATAAAATTCTGTAAAAATGAAAGAAATACAACAGATCTAAGAAGAGGAGAAACGAATACCAGCCTCGTACTCATCAATTTCTATGAAGCAGAAACAGAGTTGAATCCCGAACTTAGTTAAAGAAGAAGGAGAAGGAAAGAAGTTCCAACCAACAAAGATCAAAACTTTAGGTTCTAGGGTATTTTCGAGATGAGAAAGAAGAGGAAATGAGCAAGAAAATGGTGGGAAATGAGCAAGCTTTACCTTGGAGGGAGAGAGGGTTTGAAATTTTGAAAATCTGAGCTGCTTTCCCTCTTTTTGCAGCAAATTTGAAGTTGGAAGTCGTTTCTTCATTCAAAAAACCTAAAACGGAAGGGACAAACGCCACTATATATCGGGCTATCACGGCGTTTTAAAGTTAGTGACGTTTATTCTCAAAATGTCATTAAAAACGACGCTATAGAACAGTTTTACTGTAGTGAGTTGGTCTTGTCGTCGTCACCATTGACTCCTTCGCCAACGACGCTCGGTCGAGGAATGCAATGTTGAAGAAAGCTACCGCTTTCCGACCTTCGTTATCTAAAAGAGTTCGTCAGGGTGTTAAGGATACACAAGTCCGATGAGCTTATACGGACATTGAGGAAAGAAGGAAGAATGAAAGAGGAAACGTAAGAAGAGAACGGCGAGAGTAATAATAATAGATTATGCAGCACACTACAGTTGCAAAAATAGTACGCGTAGCTGGTGGGTTCGACGCGCCACTGGAAACTGAAGCTGGAGATGATAAAGGAGACAAAGAAGAAGAAGAAGAAGAAGAGGATTTCGTCGACTTTCGGAATGAACATTAAGAAGAAGAAATCATAGAATTTGCAGTCGAAGAACAACAACGTAAAGGGTGTTCGTCTTATAGATCTGATGTATTAGTAGTACCAACATTCCTTCATCTAAACCAAAGATTAAGGTCATTAAACCATCAAGAAACTGATGGAAAAAAGGTACATTGTTTTCTATTTGAACTTTTTTAGAAACAGGATCTGAAAATGGCTGAGATTTTCAGAATCGTGAATGAATCACAGATGAATATGCATATGAAGATTTGAGGAAGAAGAAAAAATATGATGGGAAAATTTGCGTTTAGTCCCTAGGAAAACTAGAGCTCAAGAAAAACGATGTCATTTTGGATCTTTGAGCATTAAAACGGTAATGCCAAAAGAACGTCATTTTAGTGAGGCATCCACGTCGGCAACGTCACGAAACGGTGCTGTCATGTCATCATGCCGTTAAATCATTAACGACGGAGTGGCATAATTGCACTTAAAGGGAAACGTTAGTTCTAAAATTGACAAAATTAAAACGTTGGTGATATAAACGAGTCATCGCTTAAAGGTTGATGGTATTTGAAGTAGTTAACCCTTTATAATATTATGGTCTAATTATACTGTATTCTATAACCATATATGATTACATATATATTTTTTCATATGCAATACATATATCATACAGAATGGTGAGAGTCGACTTGAATTGAAAATTAATCTATTAATTACTAAAAATCGAATTATTCAAGATCTATTTTTTAACTCGACTTGAACCTGGATTTTTTTCGAGTAAATTTTTTATTGTAGAATTGAGTTGAAGAGTTTAATTTTTCTTAATCGAGTTTTGTAAATTAAAAGGAATTGTTGCAAGGAGAGAGGTAGCAATTTACATCATATGAAGGGTAGTCTTGTGCTGGTTCAAAGGCGTAAAACAAGCCAGAACAGCCTTTGAGAGCGTCGGTGATGCTCTGATAGTCAAAAGGGTCCGCATGGAAAATCTTCAGCTTGCTTTTTATTCATCACCTACCTCATTAAATTTCAATCATCACCTACATATAACCAACAAAACACTATAATTATCTACAAAGTAAAAGGGAAGAAAGAAGAAGAAGAAGTTGGCGGACACAATTGGGAGCGTTGACTATTAGCATGGGCTTGAACTGCAGCATGGACCGTGTAGCCTCTTTGCAGTAGGCGTTCAACCAGGGTAGATCCGAGGCGACCGCAGGCATCCATCACACAAACTTGCTCGTGGTGGAATGAAGCGGCTGCCATTTCTGTTTGAGAAGATCGAAGTTGATTGAAACAAAATCAAGTATATAAACAAGACGAAGATGGGGAGAGCGGGGTTGGCTTGGGCTAGAATCTAAAGGACGTAGGAGTGGTAGATATGGGTGGGAGGTAGTTGTCTATAGCTACGAGATTTGTTGCATGGATTTAAATTGAGGTTGTAGTTGTGTTTTTGATGATTTTGACAAGGATTAAAATTACAGTTCGAGGTCGTGTGTTTTTTTTTTTTTGTCTTTTAGGTTCTAAGGCATTGCCTTGACTAATCCGGAGCGACCCGATTCGTAAACTTGATTTTGATGGGTGATTCTCCCAGCAGGATTTTCTGCATGCACAATGACTCAAACTCAAGACCTTGCTTAAGCAATATCAAGCTGCTTACCACTTGAACTAACCCCTGTTGGTGTGGTCGTGTTTTCAGTTGCGATTGCGAACATAGCGGACGCTATTACGATAATTGCAGATATAATGATCATGCGATAGTGGTTTCAAAAGGCACTGTTACCGTTATATAATGGGCACAATTGCCAATGACGGATCCATTGAGGGTTGAGGGTGTCCACCTTAAACACAAAATTTTCTTCTAATTAATCATATATTTTAATAATGGTGTCCACCCTCGTTCATTTAAAAAATTTATATTATTAATTTATATATTCATCCAAAAAAAATATTTCCAAATATCATAATTGTGAAATAATAATTTCTGACAATACCTTTATTATAACTGTCGGTATTCCAATTATGAACCAGTATTTAAATCCTGTAGGTGGAAAATGTGATTTTTGGCATAGAAAGGGTTTTGGTAATTGGTGGAAGGGTGGATGCATGTGCTGTAACAATGACAACCCACAAAAGATACCTACCACATGTTGGTTTTTGGCAAAGTCCCACATTGGTTGTGTATAAGGAGGAGGGGAAATTCTTTTGTTATAAATAAAGCCATCATCCTCCTTAGTTAATCATCCCACAAATATAAGCCTTCTTCTATATTAAAGGCTATTTGTATTCTTTCTCTCTTTGTAATATTTCCTCTATTAGTGAAATATTTTGGTGTTCTCTTTATGTCTATTTAATAGCTATTATCGGGTATAGTTGTTGTTAATTATTGTCCTATTAAAATTACTTGTCTTGATAGTTCTGTCTAAGGAAAGTGGGTTTTAAGAGGGACCATTGTGACCCCTCCTCTTTCCTGGGAATATACCTTGGGGTAATTTTTAGTACAATCGTTTTCACACTAGTCACCTAGATAATAGTTTCGAAGGTGAATCTGTTATTGGTGGAAATTAACCCGAATTTCACAACAATTGGTATCAGCGCTCTTGGTTTATTTTAGTATGCTCTGTGGTTGCGGCTTAGGCTGATCTTCCACATCAGAAAAAATTTCCTTGGGATAATTGACATTCCGCATTGGCATCTATTAATAGAATTTGTAGCAAAAATGGCAGACGCTTCTCATCTTCAATTTTGGAAAGAAATGCTGTGACAAATGTTAGATTTGCAGTGAAGATTTTTGATGGCACCGGTCATTTCGGCATGTGGCAAAGTGAGGTTCTAGATGCCCTATTTCAGCAGGATCTAGACATTGCTATTGAAGGAGAGAAACCAGATGATGTTGAGGAGAAAAAATGGAACAGGATCAATAGAATGGCATGTGGTACTATTCGATCGTGTCTTTCTAGAGAGCAGAAGTATGCATTTCTAAGGAAACTTCTGCAAGTAAATTGTGGAAGGCACTGGAGGAGAAATTTTTGAAGAAAAGCGGTCAGAACAAACTCTACATGAAAAAGAGATTGTTCCGATTCAACTATGTACCAGGTACCACTATGAATGATCACATTACTAGCTTTAATCAGCTGGTGATTGATCTGGTGAATATGGACGTGACTTTTGAAGACGAAGATCTGGCTCTGATGTTGATGGGATCACTTCCTGATGAGTTTGAGTATCTTGAAACTACTCTACTTCATGGGAAGGTTGATGTGTCTCTCAATGAAGTAACTGTTGCCTTGTATAGTTATGAATTGAGAAAGAAGAAAAACAAGAAAACACAAGTATCGAACCAGAAGCTCTTGTTGTTAGAGGCCGTTCGAAGAGTCAGAATAAAGGAAGCAGAGGGAGATCGAAGTCAAAGTCTAGATTGAGCAAAGATAAATGTGCCTTTTTGTCGAGAAAAATGGCACTAGAATAAAGAATGTCCCAGGCTAAAGAATAAAAGCAAACCTGAAAGGGGGAAGGCTGTCTCAGAATCAAATGTGGTCGAGTATGATGATGCAAATTCAGATTTCGCATTCGCTGCTACGCCATCAACCAGCCGTTCCAGTTCATGGCTGTTAGATTCAGCTTGTAGCCACCATATGACCCCCAATAGAGATGGTTCTTTGATTTTAAAGAACTAAAAGGTGGAATTGTCTACACAGCAAATAATTCCCCTCTTGACACACTTGGGATTGGTTCAATTTGCTTGAGGAATCAGGATGGATCAATCAGAACCTTAACAGGTGTCCATTATGTACCAGATTTAATGAGAAATCTCATCTCTGTGGGAACCTTAGAGTCAAAAGGTTTAGAAGTGAGGGAAAAAGATGGGATTATGAGGATTATCTCTGGTGCACTGGTGATAATAAAGGGAATCCGGAAAAGAAATAATGTGTATTACTTTCTGGGTAGTACAATTGTTGGGACAGCAGCAGTGGCAGCTTCTACTGATGAACAGGAGTCAGAAGCAACCAAGTTATGGTATATGCGCTTGGGGCATATTGGTGAAAAATCCTTGAAATTATTCATAGATCAAGGATTATTGAAGGGTTCTCGGACTTGCAAATTAGCTTTTTGTGAGCATTGCATCAAAGGGAAGAAGACGATGGTGAAATTTGGAACAACAATCCATGATACTAAAGGTATTTTGGATTATGTTCATTCAGATGTATGGGGGCCTTCCAAGACAACTTCATTGGGAGGAACACACTATTATGTCACCTTTGTTGATGATTTTTCCCGGAGAGTTTGGGTGTATAAAATGAAGACAAAGGATGAGGTGCTAGGATTTTTCCTTAAATGGAAAAAGATGGTAGAGACTCAAACAGGCTGAAAAATCAAACGTCTCCTTACAGACAATGGTGGAGAGTACAAAAATGATCAATTTTTGAAAGTCTGTGAAGAAGAAGGTATTGTCCGGCATTTCACTGTCAGAAGTACACCACAACAGAATGGGGTGGCAGAGTGTATGAACCGAACATTAGTGGAGAAGGTTCGGTGTATGTTGTCTAATGCTGGGTTAGGCAAAGAATTTTGGGCTGAGGCTTTGGTCTATGCTTGTCACCTTGTCAACCGCTTACCATCGACTACTATTGGTGGTAAACACCATTAGAGAAATGGTTTGGAGTACCTGTTACAGATTATGATTCCTTACATGTGTTTGGTTCCACTGCATACTACCATGTTAAGGAATCAAAGCTGGATCCAAGAGCAAAGAAGGTGATCTTTATGGGGATCACCTCTGGTGTGAAAGGCTATCGTCTTTGGTGTCCAGAAACAAAGAAAATAATCTTCAGTAGGGATGTTACCTTTGATGAATCTACCATGCTGAGAAAGGTGACTTTAGAAAAATTGGAGCAAACAGATGGAACTCCCAAACAGGTGGAGTTTGAAGGAAGCAGAATCAACCCAACCAGTAAAGAAACTGATGTTGACTCTCCTATGATAGAAGAAGAGTCAGATGAAGAAGAGGTTCAGACCCAAGAACCTCCACAACAACATGAATTAATTGCACTCAGAAAGGGAAAGAGACCATTAGACAACCTGCTCGTTATACTAATATGGTCTCTTTTGCATCACCAATTGCAATTGATGACGTTCCTGCCACTTTTAATGAAGCAGTCCAAAGTTCAGAACATAAAAAGTGGAGGATCGCCATGAATTAAGAAATGCAATCCCTTCAAAAGAATCAGACGTGGAAACTAGCTAGTCTTCCGAAGGGAAAGAAGGCAATTGGGTGCAAATGGGTATATGCAAAGAAAGATGGATTTCCTAACAATAATAACATCCGCTACAAAGCAATATTGGTGGCTAAAGGCTACGCTCAAACGGAGGGAGTTGATTATAATGAAGTATTTTCTCCAGCTGTAAAACATTCCTCCATCAGAATTTTGTTGGCTTTGGTAGCACAGTTGGATTTGGAACTAGTTCAGATGGATGTAAAAACTGCATTTTACATGGAGACTTGGATGAGGAAATCTACATGACTCAGCCAGATGGATTCAAAGTTGCTGAAAAAGAATAGATGGTGTGCAAATTAGAAAATCGCTGTACGGATTGAAGCAATCTCCAAGGCAGTGGTACAAGCGATTTGACAAGTTTATGATAGGGCAGAAGTACACAAGAAGCAAATATGATCATTGTGTGTATTTACACAAGCTACAAGACGTATCCTATATATCTTCTTCTTTATGTTGATGATATGCTGATAGCTTCCAGGAGTCAGACAGAAATTGTGAAACTAAAGACTCAATTGAACAGTGAGTTTGAGATGAAGGATTTTGGTGAAGCGAAGAAGATTCTAGGCATGGAGATATCAAGGGATAAGAAATTGGGGAGGCTTTGTTTGTCTCAGAAAGAATATCTTAGGAAGGTACTAAAACGTTTTGGCATGAATGAGAAGTCAAAACCATTTAGTACGCCTCTTGCTCCTCATTTCAAGCTCGGTGCATCAATGTCACCTAAGGATGATGCAGAACTGGAATACATGTCAAAGGTTTCGTATGCAAGTGCTGTTGGTAGCTTGATGTATGCAATGGTGTGTACGAGACTCGATATTTCACAGGCAGTTGGGGTTGTGAGCAGGTATATGCATGATCCTGGAAAGGAGCATTGGCAAGCTGTGAAATGGATTCTGCGGTATATTCTGAACACCGTAGATGTTGGTTTGGTCTTTCAGCAGGACAAACAAGACGGTCAGTGTGTAGTTGGGTATTGTGATTCAGACTATGCAGGTGATTTGGACAAGCGT